AAACTAAATCAATGGGGTTTGACAAATTACATCTACGTGTTTGAAAAAACTGCAAAAAAACTTTTGCAACACCTTTGCACTCATTTTCAGACAATCCTTTTAAACTGAGGAGGTTCCAGATCATCTGCGTAATTTAAATGTTAAGCTTATCTTCAAAAAAGGAAACAAGCTCAAGGCTTGTAACACCGTGCAATATAGTGAAGAGAATTGTAAAAGAAAAAATTATGAAACACTGTACACTAAAAAATCTAACTTCAAAATCTTAACATAGATTTGTACATCAAAAAGATTGCCTTACAAACCTGATTGAATCCCGTAAAATTTTCGGCGGAGACAGCTTACCGTAGATACTTTGTTGACAATTTTTACCGACTTTGCCAAAGCAATTAACACAGTGCCACTCAAACAACTCGTCCACAAATTTCAGGCCTAGGGCATTCGAGACCAGCTATTACACTGGATCTCTGCTTGGCAAAGATTCGAGTGTAAAAGATTGATAAGTGTAGTCTCTCTAGGATCAGTTCTTGCGGCTTTGATATTTGTGCTTTTTAAAAAAAGACTATCCAGACTTCATAAGTAACCTAACCAAATTATACACCAATGATAGCAGTTATAAATACCAATCAATCATTTTCTGATTATGAAAAACTGCAAGCGGAGATTGACAGCGCAGTAATTTGGTCACAAAACTGGCTTATGTACTTTAACGTTGAGAATTACAAAATAATGCATGTCGGTAGACGGAAAAACAAACCAACATATATTTATACCATGACTGGCTTAACGGTAACCGACGGTAATCTCCTACGTGTATCGAGCGTAACCTTGTAGTACTAATATCCGACAACCTCAAAGTCAAAGCACAAGTAGAAGCAGCAGCGTCGTCCTGCAATCGAGTGTTTATTTGTCTTAAGAAAATATTTAGGTGCCTCAGCCTCCAGCTCTGGGAAATATTGTACCAGCTATACGTTCAACCGCAACTAAGAAAATCCCCGACTGGATTATTGAAAATCCCCGTTTGACAGGCTGCTGTCAAACGGGAAATTTCAATAATGCGTACGTATATTTGTACGTTTATACCGACATTTGCTGTTGATATAAACGTACAAATGTTTCTATAAAATGATTTGTAGTGTTTTTATAACAAATCGTCCTTTACGTCACGCTAATTTATTTAGAAGACATCCATTTAACTGGTTTTCATGAAGCCATTGGTTTTCATGAAAAGCCGAAACGCACAAAAAGAATTTGCTTCAGAGCATCTAAAGTAGAGTGTTCAATAATGGTCAAAAAATATTTTTAGTCATTAAAGTTTATGCTGTTAGGATAAGATGGAGGTATGTTAACGGTATGTTAGACGTCCAAGATATGATCCTAAATATCAACTGCTTACCATAAAACTTGGAAGAGATAATGTAATGATTTGGGAATATTTTAGTTGGGATGGAATTGGTCCTCCCCATAGAATTACTGAAACTATGGATCAAGAAATATGAAAAGATATATACAAGAATATTATGTTACCTCATGCAAAGGATAAAATGCATCGAGGAGGATCTACCAACAAGCACACAGCCAAATCGGTTTAGGAGATTTTTAAAAAGAGTAAAGTTTATGTTTTGAAGTGGCCGTCTTAATCACCTAAATTGAATCCCATAAAACTTCTATGAAAACATAAAGATCGTCAAACAAAACATATCAAGCTTACAAAACATTTTGGTTTATTTAGTAAAATCAAAGAAATATGGGACTAAACTCCCATTAATGTTTGCATTAATTTAGTTCTTGGTTGTAATGAATATCTTACAAAATACTAATGTGATTTTGCTTTTATATAAATTTATAATAAAATGAAAAACACGTGTTGAAAAACACGTGTTTTTAAAAAAATAAACACTTCGTCTGCAAATTTTTGAACTTTTCCAAAATCGCTATATTGTAAACCAATTTTTAAATATAATTTGGATAATCATTATTTGTTTAAAACTGTAAACTCAAACTTGCAAACCTAAAAACTTTTTAATTGGTATATAATATGTTGGCTTTAAAATATGTGCTGAAATAAAACTTCAAATTTTTTTTTGCCTCTCCGCAAATCTTTTGACGCTACTACGTGTCAATCTAAAACTTGTTTATATACGAGGATGAGAATGGTCTGAAAAGTTTCTAATTTTCCTGACAAAGATACCAGTCATTTTTTCTGAAATTTTTATCTTTATTTTTTACCATGGTCTCTACACACTTTTTCCAGCAGTGCTCCCATCTCTGTAACCTGTTGAAATTGTAGTCAGCGTTTTTACCTGCAAAATAATTGTTCACGAAGGTGGTTGTTTCTTCATTTGACAAAAATCTCTGTTCACCGAGTGCAATTTTTAGATGAGGAAACAAAAAGTTGCTCAGGGCTAGATCTGATGAGTCAGACGGATGAACAAACAGTATAAAGCATAAATAAAGGATTTTTGCTTTAAACTGTTTTTTTTGATTTCTTGCTGACACAGGATTTTCTGCAAATGTAGCCGTTTTCCCACAAGTTCTGGCTTCAGCTTGTCAAGTAATGATGGTAGAATAATAGATTGTATTTTTGTTTCGGACGTATAATAATCTCCAGTAATTAATCGGTGTTAAAAACTAAGATTTATTGGGCCTAAATTGCGCTAAAGGAAAATATTCATTAGAACACATGAGCAAAAAAATTTACTAGCTTTTAATTACAAGTGCTGCCATCTTCATGTTGAGATGGGAAACTTTTCAGACCTCTCTTGTATAAGTATTTTTCAGATTGAATTATTAGAACTTTATCATTATTAGAGTGTTTTAAATTCAATTTTCATTCTATAGTGTTTTAAATATTAATTTATGATTATACTTATAATTTTTTCATTAAAGCAAGTAAAATTCATAATATTTTTAGAACAAGTTAGTAATGAGTAGCATATATGAGCTCTTTTCTTGTTGTATTTGTGAAACGTTGATTACCTTATATTAAAATATCTTAATTTATATATAGCAAGTTTTGGATGCTCACCTCTAAAGCCGGTTTCAATAAAAGGTCAAATTGCGTGTGGAAAATGATTCTATCGATATGATGAACATTTAGGGGTTTAAAGTAAAAGAAAAGTACTTGATTTTTGCTTTGAGTAAAAAAAAGTGTGCGTCATTTATGGTAGATGTATAAAGCAGCTTATCTAAAAGCAACTTCTTTTATTCATTATTAAAGAGTTCCATAATAAGTTTAAAAAAAACATGGTTGTCTTAAATTTGGATTTTCAAAATTTTTTGAGTTAAGACTCGAATAGTGCATGCTTGTGAGTGCCGCTTCTGATCTACGTTTAATGAAGATAGTGAAATTATTTTTTTTAATGGAAAAAATCAAACTTTAAAGATACTATAGTCCAGCAACTTTTCCTTAAAGATGAATTTATTTAGATGGTTTGTATGTATGTATGTATATATATATATATATATATATATATATATATATATATATATATATATATATATATATATATATATATATATATATATATATATATATATATATATATGTATATATATATATATATATATATATATATATATGTATATATATATATATATATATATATATATATATATATGTATATATATATATATATATATATATATATATATATATATATATATATATATATATATATATATATATATATACAACCCTCGGAATTAGGAAAATTGAGGTCGGCAATAATTTGCCGACTTCAATCCTTTATAGGTCGGCATCATGTTTTATGGTACGACATTTGTGTTTGTCGACCTTATAGGTCGGCAAACACAAATGTCGTACCATAAAACATCTAAACGAATTTTTTTTGCCGACTGCAAACGCGTTTAGGTTGGCAGTTCGACAATGCCGACCCTAATTCCGAAGGTTATATATATATATATATATATATATATATATATATTATATATATATATATATATATATATATATATATATATATATATATATATATATATATATATATATATATATATACACATCTGTTTGAATAATTCTTTTTTCTCACTAAACATACCAGGATATCTTACAATATTTATTAATCCATCGGTTAGCAATTTATAAAAATGACCAAAAGATCGTCTGATAGCTAATGAATTTTACAAAAGTTAGAAAAAAAAAAAATGGTTGTATATTTATTGCAATTTATTTAAACAACTCTTTGCCGGAACCATACCCTTGGTTGTCATACAAAAATCATTTAATGTATGCCCAATAAACTGCTTCTGTCTCTGATAATCAATCTTTATATCACAACTTTTTGAGATAAAACAAAAACTTATAATATAGTCTATTAGTCTTTTATACCTCCTTGGATAAAATGATTTTAAAAATATAAACTTTATGAAAAGGAATTCAAAAAAAATGCGATAACTTATGTTTTCTCTGCATATATTTTACTTATAACTTAGGTTTTAATACAGTAGAAAAAAAAATTGTTTAAAGTATATAATACTATCAATAAACTATTTTTTTAAAAAGTGGACATAAAGCAAGATAATTCTAACGTCGCAATATAGAACTATGTTGCGACGTTAGATAATTCTAACGTCGCAATTGTTTTCTCCACTTTTTGAAAAAAAGGACGTCCTAGAACTAACCATAAAAAAATTTTCATTAAAAGACTGCACAATCTTCTGTTGGTGTATGAACATTCCAACGGTAAAGTATTGATCTATGTTATAATTTGCTAACTATAAAGCTAAAGAAATGTCGTACAACAATTGTGCGATTTTGTTGCACAAAAATTGTTGCATAAATTGATTTGTTTCTACTTCCCCTACCTTTGTTTAACGTCTTAAAATTTGTTGAACAACCAATTTCAAGTCGTGCAACTTTCGCAAGAATTTTTTTTAATTATAAAACGCAACTTTCATACAACAGTTGTTGGAAAGTTTTTTTTCCAACAGTTACTGTTGGAATCGCTTCGAGTTGTCATTTTCAACTTGATTCGTCTGAATTTTTGTTTTTCGTAATCATTTTATGCGGACGTTGCGAAACCTTTGAATTATAATGTTAATAATAATATTGTAATTAAAGTTTATAATAAAATAGTAAAACACTAATCTGTTAATTTTTCAAATGGATCCTCCACACGAATATATGAATTCTTTAGGTAACAATATATATATGTATATATATATATATATATATATATATATATATATATATATATATATATATATATATATATATATATATATATATATATATATATATATATATATATATATATATATATATATATATATTTAAAATTAAAAGATATAGATGTATGAATGACAGTTTTGTAACTTAAATTTCTTATTTGTAGTAATGTTAACAAGGACTTCCTAAAGATATTGGTCTACTGTCTTGTTGTAGGATTTTTATATACATTTTCTTCTCTTCAAGTAGAAGCATATTCAAATTCCGAATTTTAAGTATGTAAATTATGCTATAAAACCTAAAAATAACAGACTTAAAGTTCTTGAAAAGTCCTTAATAAGTTTTATCAGTAACTTTCAGGGTAAAGACTTTATCTATTACAACTTTTTAAAGTTTTTTATAAAGTTTTTGAAAGTAGTTTTCTAAAATTTCAAAACATTTTAGGCTGGTGAAGTTAAAATAATTAACAAAAAGTTTACACACACACACACAAAAATAAATAAATAAAAAATAATGATAAAAATAATAATATTGTAATAAAACTGTAGGCCAAAATTCTTGAGAATTACTTGTTAGCATCACTTCTTATTTAGATAAAAAAAAAAAAAAGATTTTTTTTAATCAATATTATTTATAATTTTTTAAAAGAGAAGTTATTAATTTTAAAAGACTTGATTTTATAGTTTTTTTCTGGTAGTATTTTTAATCTTTAATTTTATTTTGAGTATTTATGCACATATAACTACAAGTATTATTTCCCAAAATGTCAGTTTACTATTTACTAAGTGTACTATTTTTTAAATAGCTTTTGTCTTTAGTCTTTTTATACTAGTTAATTAGTTTTTTTTTTTTTTTTTGCTAAACAGTTATGCACATTAATTGTTAGGCTCTTGTAAAAAAAAGAGAAAACTATTGAAGTTTATGGAAACTTTATTGCTTGAAGCTGTTAAAATAATAATAGTTATAATGATAATGATAATAATAATAGTTATAAAAGTTTCTTTTATTTAAAAGAGAATTAATTTTTTTTTTTTTTACCGAAGTGTAAAAAAAGTGAACCTTTTAGTAAAAAAAGTTGATTTAAATATTCTTTTATCTTTTTAATCTCTGTCAAGTGTGACTTGTTCAAAATATTATTCACTGGTTTCATGTGCTGTAAATTTGAAAATGTGTTTGGGTTAGAGATTAATACTATTTGTGGTTTTTGGATATTTAAATAATTCGAATATTCAAATAACTATTTTTTAATTATTCAAAAATTTAACAATTTGCTAAAATACATAAGTTTAAAAAGAACAAAAAGTATTAACTTGTTTGTTGTTTTATAAAAAAGTAATAAATAAATGATTTTAGTAGATAAATTAAAATTTTAATATTATATAAAATTAAAATTATATATTATTTATTTGTAAATAAACTGAAATAGTCTTTTAAAGTGTAATTACATTTATAAATATTCTCATTTGCTTTCCAGAGCAAATAAGTATATTTAGAAAAGCATTGTATATTAAATTAATATTTCTAGATTTAATTCCAGTTGTTTCATATATTTGAAGTTCTTTGTTTAAAGAGTTAAAATTATCCCCAAGATGCATTGTATTGTAGAATATTGACTTTTTTGTATTGCTAAATTCAACTCACAAGAGACTGATGTTATAGCTATCAAAGTTGATATTGATCTAGGCTTCAAGTTCATATTTAGGCTGAACACAAAACTTCTGTATATTTTTTAACATTACTTTGCATTGTAGTTGCTTATGTTGGATGTAATCATTTCATTAGTTCTTAGACATATGCTAATGTTATGTTTCTCAGTAAATGAAGAAACAATGTATTTTTTTGTGTGGATAAATTACTCAGAAACATCAAAAGTTATGGCATCAGTTTATATATTTTCTGGTTTATACATTTTAGTAAAACCTCTCGTAAACTTAAGCTTAGTTCTGACTGTCTTTCTGTCAACTTGTTCTTTAAAAATATGACAATTGTTTCATGTGGAACTAATGTGGCATATTTGCAGTTTAGTGCTTTAACAGCAACTTTTAAAGGAGATATAACTGCTAACATATTGTTAAGAGTATTCAAATTATTTTCTTTATATTTTTCAATAGCATTTAATTCAATCAGACTGATTTTTATACAGCTATATAGCTTATTAAATCTTTCAACTGTGGCTTCAAGAGAACTCCATCTGGCTGTGATATCTCTTTTTAAACTAATTTCCATTTTAAATCCTTGTTTCATATATCACTTTAAATTGCTATATATTTTTTTTTTACATTGAAAACTAATTTAGAAGAATGTTATGCTACTTGTTCAACGAATCCAGGAACAAGAAACCACCATTGTTTTATACCACAATCATTATCTACTTTACAGATGAGACGGGTGTCATTTCACAATATGTATACTAATGTAAATATTCCTAAAATGCAGCATATAGTTTCAGTTGCTTCTCTTTCACCAGGAATTAATATAGCATGTGTTTATGATACAAAATGGTTTTTAGGCAATATTGTGGAAATATCTGAAGAAAATCAAGATGTTATTATAAAGTTCATGAAGCAGTCAATTTTCTTAAACACTTTTACTTGGCTACATAAAGAAGATATTTGCTGGGTTCCAATAACGTACATTTTATGCAAAATTTCATCTTTGAAAGTTCAATCAACAACTGGTTAATGATATGAACTATCAGCTCAAGAAAAAACTGAGTTATTTCATTGTACAATAATGAAATAGCATAAAAAGTAGCATAATTAAATAACGTAGCAAAATTATTATAAATTTGATTTATTTGTTTTAAACATTTTTAGCTGAAAAGAGCTAGGGTGTTTATAAACTGAGTTTAATTCAGGCTTAATTAAAGACTTATTTCTAGTACTGATTATGAAATACTTTTAAATTCATACATACTTTGTAGTATAATATATACTACAAACTAAAGTAAAACAACAACTTTTTTTTTTTAATTTTTATTGTTTTTAATGCAATTTGGAAAATTTCGATTGTTCAGATTTTGTAACTTCCCCATGAGTACCCACTATTTTTTTTCCTGAAATCACTGTAATAAAGTCTATTAAATTAGAAAAAAAAAATCTTATTCAAACCAGTGTTGATCCTAGGTTACAGGTGGTTTGAAGTAGAGGCACATTTTCCTAAGTTTTACTGCAACCATTTTTAGAAGTCTATAATTTTTTACTAAATTGTATCTTATCAGTAAATTTTTAAAAATTTGGAAGCTTACCATATATAGAAACTAAAAAAATATGCCTTTTCACTTCTTAAACTGCAGGTTTTGTATACTGACTCATTAAAAATCAACTTTTATATTCGCAAACAATTTTTTAGGTTTTTTAGGTAGCCAATATGGAAAAAATGTGACATTTGAGAATTCAATAATAAAGTTTTGTTAAAGTAAGTCTAGAGACAATAAAAAAAACTAGAAGGTTTTCTGAAATTTTGTTTTTAAAATATAGAGCTTCAAAGTATGAACAAAACATGTTTTTCCTACTAAAATTTTTATTTTTGGAAAAATCAGAAATTTCAAATGACCATTTCTCATGAACCGCAAAAGATTTTATGTTGAAATTTTCAGGAATTTCTTTCCTCAATAATAAGAAACCCACTAAGTTTCATCAAAATCTGAGGGGGTCCATGTTGGATCCCCTCAGATTTTGATGAAACTTAGTGGATTGGTCCAGTTGGCATGGAATGACTCACAAGCACTGTAGTTTTTCTTCTGTTTATTACCAAGTCAATAGCAGGTAGTATTGTTGCGGGACAAATTCTTGTAGAAATACCTAATGTGAACTTGTCGCATTTAAGTTTTTCTGGTTTTGTTGACGTTTATAGCAGTCCTCTGCAGCATGTTTATGCATTTCTTCTTTATGCGAGAGGTACATTCACATGCAAAGCGATTTAATAATTCACTGTTATTTAATGATTCACTGATTCTCCGTATATATCTTGTCATAGTCCCAGTTGTTCATTAACTTGCATTTACTTCTTCATTTACAGACTAACATGCCACATCTAATCTAGTTTGTACAACTAAGGATGCAGTCTTGACACAATTGTCAAAGCATCTTCTTTTTCAAAGAATGGCATGCAGAACAGCACTATTATTAATCCCAATAATGAATTGATCACAAAGTCGGCCATCTCTGAAGGGAAGAACTTGCATTCTTGAGCTGCTTGGATCACTCAATGTGCAAATGTCTGTATGGATTCTTCATTGTCACGATAAGTTTTCCCGAATTCATGCAGTGAGATTAACAATGATTTGTCAATCTGAAGTAATATTGTTTATCACGAAGAAAGAAGTCATCTGCCAAATAAATTAATTCTTTGGCTGTCCATCTTCATATTGCGGAGATAATAGACATGCCTGACTAGCTTGTTGTTCAATGCATTTAAAAGCTATTTTAGTTTTAATATATTTTTATTATTTATCAACAACCTCAACGTTTTTACAAAAAAATTGTTTGCTATATATAGCATTTAAAAATACAACTTATGACTTGTCAACAATTAATGATCGTTATACAAAACGTTATAATTATAAAAATATGCAATGTGTGACTTTTTTCAATTAGTAAGCTTTGCTGATTATTGACAACCCTGGGAATAAGGAAAAATGAGGTCGGTAATAATTTGCCTACCTCAATCTTTCAAAGGTCGTCATCAGGTTGGCAAATTGGTACATATATCTTACCATAAAACATTGAAACGAGGCTGGCAATTTTTTGCCAATTTCAAGCACTTTAAGGTCAGCAGTTGCTGAATGCCGACCCTAATTCCGAGGGTTATATATATATATATATATATATATATATATATATATATATATATATATATATATATATATATATATATATATATATATGTACATTTGTAGATGTAATAATTATTGTATGACAAGTATAAGAAAAATGTAAAAAATATGTGGGTAACATTTGTAGACCTTGAAAAACCTAACCAATCTGTTAAGAAACATCGTGTGGTAGGCATTGAGGTATTAAAGTGTTGAAGAATGGTTGGTAACAATTATTGTGGTGATAATGTGTTGATGTTAAAATCAATGGTTCAAGTGTTAAAACTAGCCAGAGTTGTTGTTAGTCCGTGGCCTTGGCCTTGGTCTTGGGCTTGGTCTTGGCCTTGAAAACTTTGACCTTGGCCTTGATTGGTTTGGCCTTGGCCTTCTACCTTTTCTTTAAGAATTCAGAACTTTCTTTTGTGTTTGCATTTTAAAAATTTTACTACAGTTGACTTTGTTTACTTGAAAATTTAAAATCATAATTTTACATTTTATGTTTTATGTTACATTTTTGACTAGCCATTTTTTTTTTTCTTATTTAGATACCCCAAGAAGACTTAACAAAGGTTTAATATCTAATAACTAATAACAACATATCTTTAATTAAAAGATGTTATTATTATTTGTTAGCATAAGAACAAAAATACATGAAATTAAAGAATTAAAAGTTTTAATTCCTTATTTTTATGTATTTTTGTTTTCGGCTTTCATATATATTTACAAGTATATTTTCTTATTGACTTCGTGCATACCCTTGGTCTAATTTCACAAAATGTGGTTTTATTGTCACAGCACTTGCTACCTATAGTTTTGGTTATAATTTAACATAAGGCCAAAATTTAAGTCTTTCATCTTGAAAATGTTTGCGTAGGCCTTGAATATTTTATTTGTGCCTTGGTCTTGAAATTCTTGTCCTTAGCCTTGTAATCGGCCTTGAAATTTTTGACCTTGGTCTTGGCCTTGCCACTTTTGGCCTTGTTAATAACTACAACTAACTACTGCAACTAGCACTTATAATTTACAAAATTTAACTCACTTTTTTGAAACTATGCTTTAATTTTTTCAACCTTGACAACCTAATGATTTCAACCTTGTGAAATATTTTTCACAATTGTGTTACTCTTAATCGATTTCAAACCTCCACAGGGTTTTGATTAGAAATTAATAAATGCCAAAAAATTAAAATTAAAATTTTTGGAAATTTCCCAAACTTTTAGTTAAGTTCAATAAATATTATGTTTGTATAAGTATTACAATAAATATTAACATTATATTATTAATATTATTAATATTAAAATATAACAATAAATATTATGAATAAATATTATGTATAAATATTACAAATGAAAATGTTTGTTATTTTGTTATTTTATATTTATAAAGTATTTATATAAAAATACCCTCTTATAAAATTAAAACATTTTTTTAGAATCAAAACGTTTTATCCTAAATCTCAAATTAACATACTAATTATTTGCTCAATTATTCAAATAGTATATAATGAATATATTTGTGTTTTAAACCCTACTTTACAATTAAAAATTTCATTTAGAAGATAAAGAGTTTTCATGGGAGAAATTGTCTCATCTTGGAAGGATATATTTAGTTGTGTGCTGCAAGGCTCGGTTATTGGCTCTTTTCTATTTATTATTTATATTATTGATTTGCCTGAGAACTTTGTTAATATTTCAAAAATGTATGCTAATGATGCAAAAGTATTATCAAGGGTTGATTGTGAAGGGATCTATTGCAAAATGACAAAGCTTTTAACTAGTCCAACAAATGGCTATTAAAGTTTAATTTTGAGAAGTGTTTGATAATGCACTTTGGTAAAAATAACACAAAAAGAACTTATTTCTGCAAAATATTAAACCTTTAAGTACCAAAATTGCTGAAAAAGATCTTGGTGCAGTATTTATCTCTGACTTGAGATGAAGAAATCAAATAACTCTATGTGCAAGTAAAGTAAATAAAGTTTTGGATATGTTGAGGAATACATTTTTAAGTTTAAATAATGAAAAATTATATACACAATTTTTGCTAGACCGTTATTTGAATTTGCTGTATATGTGTGGTCTCCATGTCTTAAAAATGAAGTTATCTCTTAGAAAAGGTCCGTGCTAGAAGAATAGTATTGCCACTAAAAAACTGTTATGAGAAAAGATTAGATAAAATGGGTCTCACTACTTTAGTTGTAAGACGGATTCGGGGTGATTCAAATGTATAAGTTATTCACTAGAATTGAAAAAGTAATTTTAATTAATGAAATTTTGCCAAGAAGTTATCAATCACCAAGAGGTCATCAAATAAAATATAATTGCAAAATAACTAGTTTTTTGCCTCATCATTACTTTTTAACTAACAGAGCATCTTTTTACTAGAATCAACTACCTACTGATGTTGTTAATGCTGTTTCTGTGAATTTTTTTACAGCTAAACTTGACATATGGATTTTAAATAATGTAATTATGCTGAATAATGATGGAGCTGTCTAAGTGTACTTGGTACACTCACCAAGTTATCGGTCACAGCTCAAATATGTTACTATTACTTTATAATTTTAATAATAAAATGTTTCAAAACTGTTTAATAATAAAATGTTTCAAAACTGTTTAATAATAAAATGTTTCAAAACTGTTTATTGCATAACTAATATGCAATACTAATAATACTAAACTACCTTGGGCATGATTTTGCTTATTCTAGTCAATAGCTAATATTGAATCAATCAACATTTTCAATTGCTGTTAATGATTTTTTTAAATATAAATTAACTTTTTTTTAATCATGTTGCTATTTTTTTAAATCAGATTGCTAAAATTATTGAAAATGCTACATTAATTATCATTAGTTAATTACTATTATTTTTTTTTTTTTGAGTTTTTATTTGAATAAACAAAGAAGTATGTTTATTTAAAAATAATGTTAAATTAGTAGCAACTTGATAAATATAATCATGCTAAACTTGTTTTTTGAAAAAACATTTTCTTCAAGTTTTTCATTTCTTATATATCTTACCTTGTTTTTTATATATATATATATAAAAAGTTATGGGTTATATTTAGGAAGTTCACAAAGAATAGAAAAAAAGAGAAATAAAGGTAATTTTGTTGTTGTTGTTAATAGTTATTTTTTGTTTTTTTGATAAATAAGATTTTGTTCTTTTCAAAGTAAATAACAATTCTTAGATATATTAGAATGATAGTTAAACTTAATATTTCAGAACTGTTAATTTTTTTCTATATACCAGTTTATATTTTTATGTTACTTTAGATGTCTCCTTTGACATGCTACTTTAGATGTCTCCTTAGACATGCTTCTTTAGATGTCTCCTTAGATGGTGATGCATTACCAGCCAAGATCCTTACACATTCAACCCTTGCTTGTGTCACCTGCTAAAGCAGCACATAAAGTAGCAATAAGGAGACATCAAAAGTGTGGTGACACTTGATCCAATTATGCGTCCTAATTAGAAAAACTTATCTACACATTTTTATTTTGCTGCCTTATTTCCTTTCAATTATCTTAACAATTTGTATATTTTAAAATTTTTAGGGCAACGTCCACAAAATTACATGCCTCAGCAATATGGGTATGGATCTTCGCAACTTTTTGATGATATTAGTGTTTACGGGAATGATCCGGCATTGATGCAGCAACAAAATATAGGTTTTCAACCTCAAGGAGAGTTTTATGCAGGACAGCAGTTTGTAAATGATCCAATGGCTAATGCTGCCTTACATTATGGATCTCAGTTCGTGCCAGCTGGAAAAGAGTTTGTAGAAAAAAAGGTAATTTGTTTTCTTATTTTAAGTATATATATATAATTATATTTATTGCTATTTTTATTAATGCTAAAGAATGACACTTAGAAATTAGTTAGAGGCAACCAAACTAGGTAATGGAGGGGGTTCCCGATAAAGATAAAAGTTATAGTTTTTGGCCCCTCTAGTTAAATGATATAGTTTTTTTTTTGTATTTAATGACATTTTATTTTTTAAATGCATAATTAAAAATGTTATCCAAATAATTAAAAATTCACAACATCATTTATATATATATATATATATATATATATATATATATATATATATATATATATATATATATATATAAACATATATATTACATTGACTAAGGATTTGGGCTGGGCAACAATATTTTCTTTTTTTTTAAAGAAAGTTCTATTAAAACAAGCAAAACTAGTTGCTGATCTATATACGCAGGCCTTGTGATGAATAAAAACTGCGTGACGCATAGGCACGACGTGATTTTTGACGTCATTAAATTCTTTTTATTTGCTTTTCATATTTTTCGACATTAACTGCACCAATTTACTTAATTACCGCAAAACTACTTTAAATCATTAATGTAGAAATGTTATTATTTAAAAATGTTTTTGAATGTTTCATTTTTTAAAATGTAAAAACATTTGCTTATTTTCTCGACGTTTGACACGTTTTGTTTATACTAAACGAATAAAAAACATTATAACTAAAATTTAAAAAAGATTATAAAATATGCTAATATTTGATTTTTTTTTTTTTTCTCAGATATATTATTTAAAGTTTTTCAAATGATTATTTTTTCTTTTTAAAAAGTCAGCGAGTAATAAACTGGAAATTTTAATATTGTATGATTAAAAACTGTGCAATAGCTAATATTTTTACCAGCGATTTTATATAATATTTATTTTTATTTATTTTCATAAAGCGGTTGATAAGCACAATCACTCGTATTAATAAAAAACTTAAACGAACGTCTTGAATAGATTTTTAATGTTAACAAGGAATTTTATTTTAAGTAAAATAAAATAAATGTTAGAATAAAAATCTTATAGGTATAAAAGAAATATTTCAGCGAAAAAATTATTCTTAAAAATTATCATTAAAAATTATTCGAAAAACTATTGACGTTCTATTTTTCAGCAGCTGTTCTTGAGCACGCTTCGTTAACTTTTAACATTAAAGCGATCGTTATTATTTAAGTAATTTTTTTGTGTTACTTTTTACAAAAATTTTAATAACTGTACTTTTTTATTGAATCAAGTAGAATACGTTTTAATATTATTCCTTTATTTTTTTTAATTTGCGCTCACCAATTTTTAAAATGTTTCCTCGAAATTACTCTTAAATACTTTAAATACGTCTAACAGTTAATAAATATTTTTAAATCTATGGAATGATTTTAAAACCTAACAAACCCCTGTAAAATAGTTATTTAAGTTTAAAGTCTAAAACTAAAAGAAAGTATTTTTGTTCAATTTTATCGACAACTTTGCTATTGCTGTATAATTTTATTAAAATGTTAGCTTAAAAGATTTAAACTTTTTTTTAATCTGAATTTTTTCTACTTGTAAATAATGAGCATATTTAATTTTTTTTAATTCAAACTTTTATATCAACTGCGTGCGGTTTATAAAATACTTTATTAAATGTTAAAATAATCGTAAATTGTTTCATTAAAATTCAGTATATATATATATATATATATATATATATATATATATATATATATATATATATATATATATATATATATATATATATATATATATATATATATATATATATATATATATATACAACACTCAAAATTAGGAAAATTAAGGTCGGCAATAAGTTATCGATCTCAATCTTTTAATGGTTGGCATCAGGTCGGCAAATACCATAAAACATCAAAACGAGGTCGGCAAAACCAAATTTTTTTGCCCACTCAAACACGTTTAGGTGTTATGACCCTGATTCCGAGGGTTGTATATATATATATATATATATTTATATATATATATATATATTTATATATATATATATATATATATATATATATATATATATATATATATATATATATATATATATATATATACATATATATATTGTATGTGCTCTTGCACAGATTTCATTTAATGTAAATCAATTTTGAGTTTTAATTACTCATGAAATTTAATTTAATTAAAATATTTTGGGAGTTTTTAACGCTTGCTTATAATAATTATAAATTTAATTGAATGGAAACTGCAGCAACGTCTGTAATACCCAGTGGTATAGCATTCATAGTTCCAGAAAACTAAACAGATCTACAGTAATAATACAGATTTAGAAGATAGTGTGAGTGAGAATGGAAGTTTTATTTAAATAATAAACATTTTTAATAACTAAATATTTTTTGTAATTGTGTCATTACTTTTGGTTTCTTGAAAATAGATTTAAAAGTAGAAATATTCTGTTGCTAACATTGAATGAGTGAAATAAAAACTAAATTTAAATTTAAAAATTTAAATAGTTATAATTTTGTTCAAAATATATATACATTAATTAATCCAAATTTTTTTCTCACTTTATTGCCAAACAATTTACATGAAAGAATTGAATGAAAAAATCAACATAAAACTATTGTAAAAATTAATTATACTCAAGTTTTTAATAGTACGCTAGGTCATAAAATAATTAATTAAAAAAAACACGGTATCTAATAAGTTTAGATAATAAGTTTAATTGAGATTGTTTATTTGTTTTTTTGATTTGATCTTATCTTGTTTATTATTTGAATGTTTCTTTTTAATTACTTTTTTAATAATTATTTAATTTTAAACGCGTTTTATGTTTTTGATGTTATAAACTGTATAAATCAGCAATAAAACAAGAAGTTGTTTTATATTACTACAATCTTTTTATATTGACAAAACAACTTTGCAGTATTGTTATATTGTTGTTTTATTAACATTGCAGTATTGTTATATTGTTGCTTTTTACGATAACAATTTAATACTCTTTAAAAATAAAACGTGTTTTATTGTTAGCATCAACATTAGACTAGTTTTAGATATAATTTTTAGACTTGTTTTAGATTATAAATATACCTAAAACTAGTCTAATTTTTTTCCTTTTTGAGTGTTTAGATTAAACACAAGTTGTTATATTACTTACCTGATTAGAATAATAAATATTAGGATTTACAGTAGAAAACTTCAATATTTAGAATAATAAACATATTTTTCGGAATTCTGAAGCCTGGACTATTTTAGTTGGTGTTAAAAATAAATGCTAAAATCTTTTTTTAATTTAGATAGATCAGTTCATTTCGGTTTCAAAACTAAAGTACTATTTTGCTGTGGACAATGCGTACGTTTTCCGCAAGTTATGTCTTCTTATTTTCCCATTTTCACACCAGGTAATACAGTCTAACCATTGTTATTAAATTTTTTTTGAGAGTTAAAAAAATCAAATAGTCAAATTGCTCTTTTAGAACTTAACATTTGTAATAAAAGTAGGGAAAAGGCACCTATGATGGCATACTGCCTATGATGGCATACCAGTCATTTTTTCATAAATATTGGTTGTGGCCAAAAAGTAAATAGACCAACATGTCTATACTGACTTTACATTAGTTTTAGTAAAAATAATAAATTATGCACAAATATTGCTTTTATAATCAATAAAAATCGATTTTGGCATATGCTGTTGTAATTTTAATCCCTTTAAATATATTTAAGATTGTGATTTTATTATTAACTGTGCAGAAATGAAATTTTCATTCATTTTATTTTCAAGTTTTGTGCATTTAGTGGAATACTTATCTTAATTTTATCTTTTAAACAAGGCAGGCATAGCTTGTTTAAATGAAAATGATGACTTCTTCCTATGATGGCATACTGACGAGTTAGGTGTGTTGCAATATTGACGAGTTGAGAAAACCTTTTTTTTTTTTTTTTTTCTTCATAAAAACAACATATTTGTTAGCATAGTAAAAAAGAGTTTTTACTTCACTAAAAAACTTTCGGTTCAAAAAACACATAAAACACAATATCTCTTATGCGTATCCACGAAATTCTACATTGCTGCTGTGTAGCACGAAAGGGTTAATTAGGATGATTACGCGTAATTTCTGGAATTTCTAAGGGAAGACGCTAAAGTCAAATAAAATTGTCAAGTTACCCTTGATGCTAACCAGCCCCATCCTCCTCTATGCCGTCATAGGAGCAGTAGTTGCCTATGATGGCATACTTTTGCTGAGTTATTATTGTTCTACATGTGACAAAGAATGTATCCATATCACAACTTTTGTTCTTGGTCTTCAGGATACTGAATAATGAAGCTTCTAAGTAAAGTATGCCATCATAGGCGCCTTTCCCCTAATTCATTTGAATGAATTATTTTTATGTGAACATAATAATTTATACATGTTTGTAAAAATAATAGTTTAAACTATTATTTTTACAAATAATAACATACAAACATGTATAAATTATTATGTTCACATAAATTATTATTGTTTTTGTTTTTTGAACTTATAAGTATTTAAAACAAAAAGTTAATTGTTTGCTTTATGAATAAACTTTATAAATAACTTTTTATAAATTTTTTATTCTAAATGGTCAGAACACATAAAACAAATGTTATTTTTTAACAGTTCAAGCAGCTAAAGCTGAGCTTTTCAATTTGTTGGAAAATTTAGTTAGTAACTGTTCTTTGGTGATGTCTAATATGCAAAGTAAAGAGAAAACATATTTATCATGTTTTCAGTAGGTTCAGTTAAACCTTCCCTTGAAAGTATTTTTTATATAAAGTGAATTTTTTATTTGTTATTTTTATATAAAGTGAATTTTTTTTAGTTTTTTTTTAATTTTGTTAGTTAGAAGAACAATCTTGATGAAAAGAAAAATTTAAATTTGGATTTTTCCAGCAACGTGAATGACAACTTTCTTTGAACTTTTACATAAATCATATTCTTCTATTTAATTTTGTAATAAAAGTAAAGTTGTTTCTAGTTCTTTTGCATCATTATTTGCTGGTACTTTATTATTAAGCCATGTATTCAATGCCAGAGTTTATTTAATTAGAGATTTTATGCTTATTATTTTTTCAGAACTTTCAACTTCATGAAAACTAAGTGGAAACCTTCCACTACTCATCTGCCTAAGTTTCCCAAAATGTTTTTAAGAAAATCAGTTTGAAATCTCCTGGTTGAAGTGTAACCATATCCTTCTGAAAGTAAATCTTCTGTTAAAGATGCAGTTTCTTTTAATGTGACAATTAGATCATTTGATTTCTGAGCTGAAAGTGACAATTTGTGACATCCCTGTAAATTTGTATTATACCATTCACTTGCATATTGAGCAAAAGCATTTAAAAATTCAGGTTTTTAATCATTTGCAACAACAAGATTTCCTATTTTATTATTAGTATTATATATATATTCTTTGAATTTGAAATTGTCCACCAAGTATTTATTAAATATAGGAAATTAGTAGCACTTATTTCTTTTGGAAAATAACTTATAATGGGAGAATATGTTGGAATTTTGAAATTAGAAAATCAAAAAGATTTGGTAGACACTCTTCAATTTCAGTTATCAGTCAATTTCCAGAAATACAAAAGATATAGAACATTTAATTACCAACTAACATAAAAACTACAACTCCTACAAATAAAATTCTCCATTCTCATCTTTTCCTACAAGTTTACTAAAATGATATTGAACACTTTTTTGCAAATACATTTCATCAATTAACAAATCTGAGCTTATTTTTTCTTCTTTTAATAAATATTTAATGCTTTAATTGCTTCGATTCCACCTTGAGTTAATGCTTTTAGATATGAAAATAAAGGAAAAGGAAAATCATCTAATAACAAGTTGTAGGCTTGTCTAAAGGTATATAGTTGAACCAAAGCAAACCAAATCAGTTCATTACTATATAACTCTTTGTATTTATTATATAACTCTCTGTTAAGTGTATTTCGTTCAAATAAATAATATTAAAAGATAAAATGAATTTGTTTTTATTCCAATGCCTATATTTGTAATTCTTTTGAAAACCACTTTAAGCAAATAAAGAACTTGAATAAAAACTGGCCTACTAATTATCGGACTTGTTAGCAACAAGTCTGGCCGTGTATTTAAGAAGGCCGTGTATTTAAGGTACGCAAAAAATGTTCAAGTTCTTTAATTTTTCTCCTCATTGATATAGCAGTGAACACCTGTTGATGTTGTAGGTGACTAATTTTGAAGCGCCACTAATACGGTTGCGGATTCAATTCCTCATTAGAAAGCTCTTTTTTTTTAATTTTTTTTAATGTTTTTTCATTGATTATGATAATATGTTTACATTATATTGCACTTTATATTTAGCCAATATTATAAATCATTATTTGCTAAATATATCAAAGTGTAAACATTTTATATTCTTGCAATATTGTTAACAACATTTAGCCAACATTAAGATAAATATTGCACCAATAATGTACCTATGTTGCTTGCTACATGTTGCTTGGTACAATAGGAACTTAATCACAATTCTTCCTCTTATTTCTTGCTGTCTGAACACTGTTTAATAATAATATTGCGATATAATAATATTGCAATATAATAATAATGCTACTTAACAATAATTCGTTAAATACCATAACTAATTGTCAGGACTAAAAAGCGGAAAATTAATTTAATTTTAAGTTTAATAGTTCAGTAAACTTTGATTGACAGGTCTGTTTCAAAATGAATCTTGTGCAGACCTTTTTCTCACTTCTTCAATCAGAAGGATGGGCTGTACTCTTCATTGATACAGCCAGACTTTTAGAGGCTATTGGTTTTAAATGCAATCCAAGTAAATGGCATCTATCTATAGACAGTTCATCTTGAAGTCCAGCCTCAAAGACATGTTGCTTAATCTGTGCATCTCAAAGAGGGCTATACTAGTTTTAAGATGTTGCTCAGTGAAATTAAAATTGAAATAATTACACCACTTAACTAGTGAAATTGAAATTGAAATAATTATACCTCAACTATGAAGGTTTTATCTATTGTACAGTATTGGACAAAACATTTGCAACCAACATCGAAAAATGCTAAAAAGTTTTCCTAATTTTACATGTCTTAAAAACAAAACAAACTATACTACCACAGCAAACAGTTCAGGAGTCTGGAGTCATAGCATGCCATGACATGAGCAATCAGCTGACAGGTGACAGCACACAGGCAGAATTTTGTTGACAAGTGCCATTTTGCAGCAGACAAAACAAGTGCAACTTTTTTGGTTTGTTTCATTTTCTTAAGTCTGGTCCGTTTCAAAGTTACGGAAGTTTTTTAATAGTTAAACGAAGTTTTCAGAAGTTTCCAGAAGCATGCAGAAGCTTCCAGAAGTTTCCAGAAGTTTCCAGAAGAAGCTTCTGGAAGCATCCAGAAGCTTCGAGAAGCATCGAAAAGAAGCATCTAGAATCTTCCAGAACAGGTTCACACAGGTTCATTTTACTATATAAGAGACATGTAAACCGACATGTAATTCAGTCAGTATATGGAAGTCAATCAGTCAGTATTATCAAGACAGTTTATCGAAGTGAGTTTTATCAAAGTGTTTTATCGAAGAACATCAATACAAGAAGTAAAATACAACAAGTGTTTTATTACATCAATACAGTCCACATCCAACCAAGACGTTGCATTCCACAGCATTATTGTATCATCACAAGGTAAATGTAACATGGTAAGCCTTAAGAAGCGTGATTATTTATTTTTATTATTTTTATGACTTGAATTGCAAAAATGGCTCCCGACAGTCTTAGATTGGAACTAAGAAAGAAAATTATTGGCGATTATGTAAGTGAAATGTCACAAAAAAGTATTTGTGATAAATATTGCGTGAAAAAATGGACTGTATCAAGACTATGTTCCAAATATCGTTCTACGGGGAAGTTGGCAGCAGATAACAAAAGTGGAAGACCGCATTCCACCACTTCTAGAGAGGATTCTATGATTGTCAGATCCGTCAAGAAGGATCCCTGGATGTCATCAGTCGAGATACAAAAGCAATTAAAGGTGCCTGTATCGGACCAAACAATCAGACGACGTGCTGTTGAAGCCGGATTGTTTTCTCGATTTCCTGCAAAGAAACCGCTGATTTCACTAAAGAACCAGAAAAAAAGACTCCTGTTTGCTACATCTCATATTGACTGGAATGTGCAGAAAAGGAGAACTGTCCTGTTCAGTGATGAATCGAAGTTCAACATCATTGAGAGCGATATCATTTGCCGTGTACATCAACCAGCCGCAAAACGCCTCAATTTACGTTACTGCCACAAGACCGCGAAGCATGGTGGAGGCAATGTAATGGTCTGGGGGTGTTTTTCTGCTAATGTTCTAAGTCCAATACATCGAATTGATGGAGCAACGGACCGTTTCATGTATTAAAGTATCTTGAAACATGTTATGTTGCCTCATGCTGAATGGAATATGCCAATAAAATGGGTTTTTCAGCAAAACAACGATCCAAAACACACTGCAAAAGTAGTCATGCAATGATTTCAAGACAACCACCTATCGGTGATAGATTAATCGTCTCAATCCACGGATCTCAACCCTATCGAGAACCTGTGGGAGATTGTCAATCACAGAATTAATCATGAAGGTGTTCGTAATAAGGATCAACTGTTTGAGCAAATCCAAAAGGCCTGGGCAGCGATTCCACAAAGTTTCATTGATCACCTGATCGAATCTATGCCTCGAAGATACAAGGCTGTGATCGACAACAAAAGATTCGTCACGAAATATTGATAGCGAAATACAGCTTGGTCAACATTTTGTGGAGTTGCACTTGTTTTGTCCAGAAGGAAATCAACTTTTTTTAATACTTTTGATTAATTTGTTAATTTGCGTGTACAAATAATGAACTTTGTGATGAATAAAACTTGAAGAACGTTGTCTCTAAACAGTTACATAGTTATTTCTCTAAATTGAAAAAATGCAGCACTTTTATATAAAGAAACTAAATTAGCATTATTTGCTTGCACTTGTTTTGTCCGTACTGTATGTCACTAAATCAATACAATAAAAATTTTGAAATAATAATTAATAAAGCAACAATTCTCAAGAGAGATATAAAGTCATATTAAGGTTCATAATATTTATAGATAATTCATAACATTTGACCAATCAATAAAATTATTTTATCCTTAAAACCGTACCTTTATGGCGTTCTCCTGTTTAGTTGAGGTTGTCTTGGAAGATGGTTAGTTTGCACTTCTGTGTAAGTTTCCATATTAGATTCTGGATTAAGCAAACTTTCTTTTTTTGTAGTTAGGGTTTATTTGGTTGAAAGATATACTTTGTGTCAATAATACTATTGGCAGCAATTTTAGTATTTGAATGAGGAAATTTAATATCTTTTAAGTTGCTAAGTCTTTGATAGATACAGTAGATTCTCATCTGTTTGGAAATTTAATGTGAGCATACTGTTGTTCTGCTTCTATCAGATCAGCTTCTTCTACAATGGAATCATATTTACTGGATCAAATACGTTTTTTTACAAAAACTTTTCCTTGTTCTAACAACCAGGTTGGGGTAGATTGTCCGTTTGTAGATCTACAAAGTAAAGAGCAAAACGAGTGTAAAGTATCCTTTTATACGGTTTCCCAGAATTCGACTGGTAGCTTTTTTGATTTGAGAGCTAATGTTACTACAAATTCTTCCGTTAAAGTGATTTACTTGTCTATTTTCTCTGGGATTATAAGGCATTGTTCTGCTTGTGACAGCTCTTCGGGTATGCAAAAAAGTATGTATTTCTGATATTATAGAACTACCTTTGTCAGAAGGAACATAAGCAGGCATGCCAAACAAAGAGAACAAATTCTTAAAACACTTTAATACTGAAGAAGTATCAGAGCAAGGATATGCAAAAAAAAAATCGTGAATATATTTTTCAATAACTGTATAGTTATTAGTTAATGTGGGAAGTGTTGGAAGTGGGCCTTTAAAATTTATATTAAGGTGTTCGCATGGTTGGGTTGCTTTTATAAGGTGAGCAATATATGGTTTGTAGAATCGAGGTTTCAGTTCACAACAGGTAATGCACTGGTTTACAACAGGTAATGCACTGGTTTACAACAGGTAATGCACTGGTTTCCAACTGCAAGCAAAATGGTTTGTCCTTGTAATGCCTGGGTGACAGAGAGCATTATATAGGTCTGCTAGTTTTACTTTATTATCACTTATATACAAACAAATGGAGTTTATGCTTTCATTCTTCAACAACTTTTGAATCAGTAAAGCAGAACATGAGGAAGGTGATGAGCAAACAGCAGCTTGATTATATTTACCTGGTCAATACTATGCATTATTTTATCTTTTTTTAATTTGTCTTTATGGTTCTGATTGATAATATACAAACAACCTGTTGGTTGGTCACTAAGGTAAAGTGGCACCTGATCAAATAGTGTTTCCACTTCTGAAGGGCATCCAAAATAGTATATGCTTCTCTTTCAATAACTGATTGGTGTATTTTGTGTTTGTTTAAAGATTTTGAGAAGAAAGCCATTGGCTTTCCATTTTAGTTTAATATTGCAGCTAACAAAAAATCAGATGCATCTGTTTCAACTACAAATGGAATTGTTTCAAAATCATCAATTTTGATTTTGAAAAATCATATTTTACAATAGCTTTGAATTTTTTACTGAAAAGACAAAGATGCCATTTATACGCTCCCAAAGCTCTTTTTATATGGGATTTGATACTTATCGATAATGTATTTGTTGATAAAGTTGTCAGAGCCTTCAGTATCTATTAATGAAGAAAGTTTTTGACATTTTATTTCCTAATTAAATTTAAGAGGCACTTATCATTTCTAATATGTTGTCAGATTCAGTAACAGCTAATGATCTATTTGATTTACATCTTTAGCAAAATGTTCTTGTTTTTGACATTTGTGGCGAACAACATCTTTAGCAGGACAAGCATTATGCGGGTGGCGATTGTTTCTACAGAAGTAGCACAGTTTTGTGGATAAAAAGAAGTTTTCGAGAGTTTTAAACCAGTGAATCCATTCTTTGCTCGATGTTGAAGAATTTGGATTTACATCAAATCTTTCAGAATGTAAATATTTATCCACAAAAAAGGTTTTTTATTACGACCAAAACTTTTTTTTTTTACAGAAATATGATAGATAAATTGAAATAATTAAACCTCTTAACTATTAAGGTTTTATCTATCTTATGTCACTAAATCAATACAATAGAATTTTTAAGATAATAATTACTAATGCAACAGAATTTTCAAGAAAGATATTAAGTCATAATAAGTTCATAATGTTTATAAATAGTTTATAACAGTGGCATCATATTTATAGACAGTTCAATCTGATGTCCAGTTCGAGACTTTCAAAGTCATGTTGCTTTATCTTTGCATCTCAAGCTATATCAGTTTCAAGATGTTGCTGAGGGTCTTGAAGTATGAGGACTACAGATCAGAGGTCATCTGTAGGGATTATTTTTTTCCGCATATATCCGGAATTCCGTATATTTTTCCCAACTTTTAGTTTTTCTGGGTATCCAAAACATTTTCCATACATACAAGTTAACGTGTATATTTTTGTTTTTTAAGCTTTTTAACTCATCACTCATTCAAAAATTTTTAAAAAATTTGGAAAAAATTTTGAATCAAAATTTGAAACAACTCCTTTAAAAGCAAAATTAAGAGTAAAATTAGGGAAAATATATTCCGGATTTTTAAAATATGACCTTGTTTTTCCCAAACAATTTTCCAGATTTTCAAAATATGACCTGGATGATCTATGCATCAAAGATTTTAATATAGGGTCATTTCTTATCTCTTCCAGGTAGTTTCACAAAATTTGATTGTTTCCTTTGCCTTTAGGACTGTCTTGACACTATCACAGAAAGGATACAACAGATCAAGTTCTCTATGGGAAAAAGCAGTTTAAATTGGGAGCTGTTGATAAAACCTCAGAAAGTGTTTATACCACCACTGTACATTAGGGTGGTTCTAAAAAAAAAATTTTTTTGAAAATGTCTGATGGCACCCCTTCACCAAGATTCTAAACAGGATAGAGAGAGAGCAGTGTAGAACAGTTTTGCTCACAACTTCCTTGATAATCACAAGGCTACAAATTGTGTGGAGTTGGTTCAGATTCTCATTAGGAGTTAAGCAAAAATGGGATTTTTACTCAAAGTTTCTCAACACCTATCTCTATAAATTCAAAGAAAACATGGGAGCTTATTCAGAGGAACAAGGCGAGCATTGAAATATATTGGACTTAAAATGTTGCTTTGACTCACAATTACAACGTTTGAGGTTCAAATCCACCCTGTCACCCTATGCCTCAGCAAGTACTGCCCTTAACCTGTTTCTCTGTCTAGCAGCCTTGAACCTTGTTTCTTCATGTAGCATCCATAGTTAACAAGGTTTGCGTTTTGGAGTTTAAGGTTGAGAGTTGCAAAAAAAATTACAAAAATAGAGTAGCCTCCTCAGCTGTAGTAGCCCCCTCTGGAGCATCAGAAAGGTGAATTAAATTTAAAAAAAAAACCTATACAGTCTCTTGCTAAAGTTTAGAATTAGTTTAGTTTTTTTTAGATAAATCCATAGTTTATTGAAAATGACATACACAAATGACATATACACAAAGCTAAGATTTAAATTATGTTGTATACATACACATGTATAAATATTCTTCCAGATAAACTTACCTCTAAAGTGGTGTTTCTTCATGCTCAAAAAATTAGATTAAGAAAAAGAACTTTTTTGATTAATATATATATTTTAAATAATATATCGTTGTATAACATCAGATTTTTTTGTGTTTGAATACTAGGTTCTAAGTTATAAAAAGTAGAAACCAGGCCTTTAAATTTAGCAAATCTTTGAATAAGCTAATATTTTAAATTTTCATATAAATCTTTAAATTTTCTTTTATTAATGCACTAAGTTTAGATTACTTTTAAACTATCATCTAAACCAGCAATTTTAACCTTTTCCTTCCCAACAGTTTCTTTCCCAGGGTTTTCTAATCCACTTAATTAAATTTATTTAAACTTTAACACTAAATATTTTACAAAGTAATGTAATTTTTACATATAATAAAATCACTAAATAATCTTTTTAGTGATAGATTTAATTTCCTGGAGTTTCTTGATCTTAACTTTATTTCAAAAAGTTTTCTGCATTGACTGTAATACAAGCAATAAATAAATTTTTGTAATACAAGCAATAAATAAATTTTTTTTTTTCTGATTAAAGGACTGGTCATTAAAGTATGACAAATCAGAACCTATTGCTCCTCGTTACGAAATCAATGCACCTGATCTCTACATTCCAAGTATATTTTTATTATGTTTATTTTATTTTGCTTATGGTTTTAGCTGAAATTTTTTAACTTTTATTGTATCACAATTTTTGGTCAACAAATCAATAAATATTTCAACTATAGGAGTTATTTTTAAAAACTAATGAAATAAACTATTAGCACCTAACTAGAAAAAGATTTTTTTCTGTAGAGGAAGTTTGTTGATAATCTTCTATTATCAAAGTTATTTTAAATTGTTATTATTAAATCAATAATCTACTTTTGTAAATGAAAAACTTATTTTCTTATTCTCATATATTATTTTCTATTATAAAAAAATTTTGTTTAAAAGTTTTGTGCAAAAAAAATTTTGGTATAAAAAAGTTTTGTACAAAAATTTTTTTTGAAAGAATATCTTATATATTTTATTTATTTATATATTTTATATATTTTACTTTTTTTCATATATTTTTGCTAAGAAATTTATTTTAAAATCATCATAGGATAAAAATCTGTTAATCATATCCATTAAAATCCTCCTCCTCTTTTTTTAAAATGTTTTAGACCGTAAAATCCTCCTGAAGAGATGCTGAAAGATTGTTTTTATGCTGACTGTTACAGTGCCAAAAAAGTCTTATTATTTTTAGAAAAGTATTATTTTTAACTAAAAGTATTTTTTCCCATTTTTTCCATATCTAAAAATGATAGGTTTCTCAAAGCATTACAAGGGTTAAATTAATTTTAATTGAAAGTTTGATTTATCGTTTAAAGTTTAAAGTTATCACAAAAAAAATAATTTTGAAATAGATTTAGTTTATAGATTTGGAAATTTATGTTTTTATGTTTGAAAATTAAAAAAATAAAGGAACATCAAGGTCATCAGAAAAGTATAAAGTCAGCACATAGTAAAAGTTAAATACAGAGTGTTAAAAAGCTTTTATTGTAAAATGAAGAAAAATAAGTTTGACATTTTTGTTTTGTTCTTACATTAGTATTAATTTTAAAGCAGTAATGCTTTTTGAAAAAATGTTATTATTTTTAGTTTTTATGTATTGTAATTGGTTTATAATTTAGCTATGGCTTTTGTTACTTATGTTTTGGTGAATGGTTTTATAATGGGAACTCAAAATAGGTTTTATAACTTTTTTTGTTCAAATAAAAAATGTTTTTTTTTTTAAACAAAAAAGTAAAATCTTTAAATCCAAGTTAAATTTTAGATTTACACCAGAACAACTTGGGATGACAGCTAGTTCAGCATTAGTTTGGCTTTTTGTTGAATTGATCATGATAATTGTGAGCATGTATGTAATTGGCATTCTATCAAATGTTAAATACTTAGATTTGTTTGCACTATGTGGCTACAAATATGTTGGGTAAGTTTATTATTACTGCTTTTAGTTTTTATGCTACTCTGCTTTATGTTAAAGCTAAAAAGTTTTCTAGATGCAAAAATTTTTTATATTCTAAGGTAGGTCTTAGTGTGTACATTTGTTTTCCCAGTGTGGTTCTTAGTGTGTGCTTTTATTTTCTAAGTGTGGGTCTTAGTGTGTGCTTTTTGTTTTAAATGTGGGCCTTAGTGTGTGCTTCAGTTTTCAAAGCGTGGTTCTTAATAAAAAGAAAAGACAGAAAATAAAAAATGAAAAAAAAGAATGTTTTATATAATGCTTATGTAGCACATGTATTTCATTCATATGATGTACTTTAATGAAATCCTACAACTTTTTTCTATCCCAAAATGGCCTTTACATTTCATCTCATACAAAATTTTTTTTAAAATTTTAGAAACAATATATTTTATAAAGATAATTTTAATAAGAAAATATCGTTTATTTATATATATATATATAAAAATAAACGATATATTTTATAAAGATATATATATATATATATATATATATATATATATATATATATATATATACATATGTATATACATATGTATATATATATATATATATATATATATATATATATATATATATATATATATATATATATATATATATATATATATATATATAGATTATAAAATGCATACTCAATTTATACACATTGATTGATAGTTTTTCTGATAGGTCTTTCAAAGTACCAAGGTCTTCCAATAGAAAAAGATTGATAGCGCCATAAGATAACGTTGCTAAACTAACTGCTAAACTAACTGATTAATCAGCATATTTTATACAATATTGCACTTTAAAAATGTTGTTTGTTTAAAATATATCATTTGCAGTATAAGATAAAAGTATAAATTGTTTAATTACAAAAAACTGTTTTAGATCAGCTGTTCCACTTTAACTGTTCTTGGAAACATAAGTCTTTTTAGTTTTTTTTCTGACAGTTTTTTTTTTGTTTTAGTTTGTAAATAAAATAAAATATTATTCTCTTAAAAATTTAGAATTTTAAATTTATAAGTTATAAAAATGATACAACAATAACCATCTAATAAATTTTCTGGCTTTGTGAATGAAAAAAAATATGAAGAAATCAGCTTGTGCAAACAATTTATTGAAACTTACTGCGGAAATGAAATTTTGTTGTATGATTCATCTGAAAACCTAAATTACAATCTTAATTATTACTATTATTTATTTTGAAATATTTATAATTTACAAATATTCAAAAAAACAGCTGTCAATTATTTTTTGTGTTAAAATTTGTAAAAAAATGTTCTAAAAGTCAGAAGTACTGGGAGTCTTGGTTAACTTAGAAGACTCTATGAATACTATAATTTTGCCATGATCATAATTCTGGAAGATTGAAAATGATAAAATCAGAGTAAAATGTTTCCTAAGTTCCATTAAGTAGATTCTATTAAGTAGATTCTATTAAGTAGATTCTATTAAGTAGATTCTATTAAGTAGATTCTATTAAGTAGATTCTATTAAGTTGATTCTATTAAGTAGATTCTATTAAGTAGATTCTATTAAGTAGATTCTATTAAGTTGATTCTATTAAGTAGATTCTATTAAGTAGATTCTATTAAGTAGATTCTATTAAGTAGATTCTATTAAGTAGATTCTATTAAGTAGATTCTATTAAGTAGATTCTATTAAGTAGATTCTATTAAGTAGATTCTATTAAGTAGATTCTATTAAGTAGATTCTATTAAGTAGATTCTATTAAGTTGATTCTATTAAGTAGATTCTATTAAGTAGATTCTATTAAGTAGATTCTATTAAGTAGATTCTATTAAGTTGATTCTATTAAGTAGATTCTATTAAGTAGATTCTATTAAGTAGATTCTATTAAGTAGATTCTATTAAGTAGATTCTATTAAGTAGATTCTATTAAGTAGATTCTATTAAGTAGATTCTATTAAGTAGATTCTATTAAGTAGATTCTATTAAGTAGATTCTATTAAGTAGATTCTATTAAGTAGATTCTATTAAGTTGATTCTATTAAGTAGATTCTATTAAGTAGATTCTATTAAGTAGATTCTATTAAGTAGATTCTATTAAGTAGATTCTATTAAGTAGATTCTATTAAGTAGATTCTATTAAGTAGATTCTATTAAGTAGATTCTATTAAGTAGATTCTATTAAGTAGATTCTATTAAGTAGATTCTATTAAGTTGATTCTATTAAGTAGATTCTATTAAGTAGATTCTATTAAGTAGATTCTATTAAGTAGATTCTATTAAGTAGATTCTATTAAGTAGATTCTATTAAGTAGATTCTATTAAGTTGATTCTATTAAGTAGATTCTATTAAGTAGATTCTATTAAGTAGATTCTATTAAGTAGATTCTATTAAGTAGATTCTATTAAGTAGATTCTATTAAGTAGATTCTATTAAGTAGATTCTATTAAGTAGATTCTATTAAGTAGATTCTATTAAGTAGATTCTATTAAGTAGATTCTATTAAGTTGATTCTATTAAGTAGATTCTATTAAGTAGATTCTATTAAGTAGATTCTATTAAGTAGATTCTATTAAGTAGATTCTATTAAGTAGATTCTATTAAGTAGATTCTATTAAGTAGATTCTATTAAGTAGATTCTATTAAGTAGATTCTATTAAGTAGATTCTATTAAGTTGATTCTATTAAGTAGATTCTATTAAGTAGATTCTATTAAGTAGATTCCATTAAGGCAAAAGTATTTTTACTTAAACTATAAAACATTGGTTACTATATAACTGTAAAACATTGGTTACTATATAACTATAAAACATTGGTTAAAATTGTTTTAACAATTATTATTTTTTGGAATGATATTAATGTGACTATTTTTTATTTAAAAAAGATTTTTTTAAAATCTTTGGTATTTTTTTCTAAAAAAAGTTCTTTTAAGGTCCTACTGTTTTTTGTTTTTTTAGAATGATATTATCATGTATTGCTGGGTTGTTATTCAATTCTTTTGGTTATTATATGGTTTTATCATGGATGAGTTTTGCTATTGCTTTTTATTTGGTAAGATGTTATCTAATGATTAAACTTAGGTCTAAGGCCTAACAGCTTAGGTCTAACATTTAACTTAGGTTTAAAATTAAACTTAGGTCTAAAGCTTTACATCTTAGGTCTAACAACAAACTAATAATGTCTAAATTATAATTGAATTAGCAGTTAAGTGAAACTGAAATCAAATAAGATTCTTTATGATGTCAAACTTATCCCTGCCTCTAAATCTTACTTTCTGTTATCCTGCTATTTAAGGGTCTCATGGTATTTTTGGAAAAATCATATTTCTTATATCTCAATGGTAATTTCTTGTAACATCAGAGAAGTATTAATAAGATTTCAAATAAAGAACTTTTTAAAGTGTGGTATATTCTTAATCATTTAGCCTGGTATTCTTAATCATTCAGCCTAGGTATTCTTAATCATTTAGCCTGTTTGATGCAAGTTGTCTATAATAATGGCCTCAAACTTTCTTTAGTAGTGGTGCTAATAAATGATCTCTAAAAGTTGTTAAACACGAGAACGGAAATTTTAGGTTGAATCTTCGATCAAAAGTGCTCATTATTGATCTAATTGATTATACTAATTGATAATCAAAAATTATCTAAAAAATCAGATTACATATTAATTATATGTATGTGGATGTATTTATATATATACCTCTCGAAAATTGTAAAACTGATAATTTTTTACTTTTTTTGGGCCTCTAAAACCATTTGATTTGAATGGTGAAACTTACTATTTAAAAAGAGCGTTTTTTTGCTTGAGCAGGTTAGTTGATGGTCAACTGTTTTTTGTAATACATACTTTATCACATATATCGTTAGTCAACTGTTCTATTGATACAAAATATTTAAAATAAGATGTTACAAAATTACAAAATCCTCGAAATTAGATGAAGCGTACAATATTATGTAAATTTGACTTACATAATAAAAAAAGCTAATTTTTCTTAAAAAATTTTTTATTATAAAAAAATAAAATTTTTTACAGATGAACTATTCAACATATAGATGTTGAATAGTTCATCTGTAAAAATTTGTTAAAATCATAATAAAAAATAAAATAGAAAAAACGCGGGTTTTGTTATTTAAAATAAAAAAACCCTTTTTTTAACTAGAAAAACCAGGTACAATTACTAACCAGAATATCAACAAAAACAAAACAAAAAGACCGTCAAACAGAAAGGCCGTTTAATTTTCAAAAATAAAAGTGATAATAAAAATAGAAGTAGTTTAAGGGACTCTTATTTTTATATAATACAAGGAATTAGATTAAAATGTAATTCCTCTTCTTTGGCGGCGTGGAGAGGCGTTGTATGACTTCTCATCGTCGATTAGAAAAATATTCTTATTTAGAATTTGGAAAAAAGCAAAAATTTATAAAAAACAATGCTTTAGTAGAAGTTTTTCATTCGGTCAGCTTCGTTAATACAGGTGTTTTTGACACTCCAAAACTTTTCTAAATCTATAGTTGTTTCTGGTCTATCTTCCCACAGTGCTTTGCAAACTTTACAAAGTGCCATTTCCAGTTCAACTTTATAATATGTTTTCCATTGAAAGTATTTGTTATAAGATTCGTCATTCATATCGAGATAGTTTAAGTAAGAAACAAGATCTCTTATATTTTTATAATCGTGTATGTTTATAAAACTACCTGAAATAGCGATTTTTTCTTTACTGTAGTTAGCACCTCCTGCTACGATCGGCAAAATTTCGCTTAATAAACCGTTCTTATAGTATTTTTCAGTAACATAGTCAATGCAAAATGAGTTTTCGTATGCTAATACAAACTTGTATCGTCTTTTTAATTCTTCACAACTTAATGTGTTTTTTTTACAATCTTTGGTTTCTTTTTGAAACACCTTTGCGCATGCTCCATAAACATCTACCGAGATGTATTTTTTCAAGTTGCGGACAAAATTAATCCTAGTATCGTCACAATGGCTTGTTATGTAGAGTATTTTTTTATCTTTACCTTCTGCAAAGTTTTTTATTTTTCCTGTTGGTTCAACAAGTTTGCGTATCCCATAGTAGGGTAAGAATATTTCTGAGTCTGTTCGATATGTTGCAGTCCAGTTAAACAATCCATTATATAAACTTAAATTTAGGTACGTAAACTTGGGGCTTTCGTTCATTAACCATATCCAAATTTGCTCTGGGTTTTTTCTTATTTCTCTTAGCACTTGTTCGTGTGGCAAATCTCTTGCGTGGAATAAAACTGCATTACTTAGCATAATTTCTTTCTTATTGTAAGTGAGTTCACAATGATTTACATGACAAGGTGATTGATCTAGCTCTGTAAAATTGTAATCATAAGGTACATGTGGCCATGGTATGCTTCCAAATAGAGGTGTGTAAATTAAAATAAGTTTCTTTTTTTTATTCAGCAAATAGTCTGTGTTCACCTCGTATTCTTCCTCTCTCGCATTTTTAAATATGTTTGCTTCTGTTAAATTGGTGTTTAATTCAGTATTAACGATCGTTGCCTTTTGTTTTTGTAGCTCACCCAAGAAATAGTTTAATTTATTGAAATATTTTCTCTCACAATGGTCTAACGAAGAATTGATTTTGTATTTAAAAATTAAAATAAATTTAATTAATATGATTAGTAGAAGTAAAAGTAAAATTTTTCTCAATACACACCGAACTATCATTTTACATATATTTGTGTATCTTTATTCCTTTCTATTCTGTTTTTGTTGCTATAGTAACCATTCGTTTATTCTAAGAATGTTGCTTATATTAGTGTGGATTTTGTACGCGTGATTATTATTTTTTATGAGTTCCAACTAAAGAAACAAGTTACAAAATTAAATACCAAAAACTTGAGCCTTCTTTTTTACATTATTTTTTAAGAAATGAATTAATTTATTTGTTATTTTTATAGGCACGCACTTTACGTTTGATTATTAGTCCAAATGAACAATCTGACAGTCTCGCTCGTTCTTCTGGTACGAAGAGACGACTCTACGTTCTCGTATTTATTTCTCTTATTCAACCATTATTTATGTACTTTCTTACTCGACATCTTTTCAACTACGATATTGTCCAGAAGATCGTTTTAGTTTAGAAATTTTTCGCGTATGTAATAATAATAAAATTAAAAGCTTCAATAGATTTCTAAATTTTTATAATAAAAAAAACTGTAAAATTTGGTGTGGTGTAAATCACTTGATTTTTGTGACAAGCAATTTTATTACGATGTAAGTCGTCGCCTGAGAATTATAAGATTTTATCTTTACGCTTCTAAAGATAGTCAGAAATAAATATTTACTTTTGTTCAACTATTATTAGCGTTTATAATACTAAAATATAAATAATAAAATCATTATATATTTACATAATGTTTAACTGTTTAATTTACAACATAACCTACTTATATTTTTTATTTCTTACTTTTAATTATATATTTCGACTTTAAAGTTAAGTTTTTTTAGAATAAGATTAAAATAATTATAATTTTCAAGCGACGAAATCTTATCAGCGAAGTCTTATAAAAAATATATAAAATAGTTTAATAAATTATTTTCTTAACGTTTTAAATTATTAAAAAAAAAAATGTTCGCAGCTTGAAAAGTATGTAAACGTGTAGTTACGTTACAAGTGAGCTTTAATTTGTTGTAAAGGGTCTTGGATCGTATAGGGATTTGGGCCGCAATTGCTCAGCTGTTTAATTGAGAGCAAACGCTGCCAAGACAAGCAATTGCTCTCAATTGAAGTTTTTACGGATATCACACTGATTAGATTTTCATTTAGACACTTAAATTTAAAATATGATGCGTGCGATACTGCGCGTCGCACTTTCCTTTGTCAATCGAAGAGCATTTTTCTAAAAATAAATAAGTCCATTTTTTCCAAAATTGAGTTTTTTCAACCTTCTTTATTGAAAAAGGTACATATCTAATCATGTTAGTATCAATTAAAAAAATTATTCATCATCTTTACAAAAAATGTAAAAACGATTACAAAAATTATTGGGATTCAAAAAATATTTGGCCTGATGATTAGTTTTTTTTATTTTTTATAAAACATGTTTCTTTTAAAAAAACGTTCTTCAATCCAAATTAGGGATGGCAAAAATCCCAGAAATTTTCAATCCCGGGATTGAGAAATTTGTCCCCGGGAAATCCCGGGGCTTTAATAGAAAAAACGCAATTGAATACTTTTTAAGTACTCATCAAACACTTAAAAATGATTATTTTAATAATAGTTATAACTAAAATACATTAATGTATTTTAGTTATACTATTGTAGTTTAACTAAAATATTTAATACCTAAAATTAAGTTAAAAACATGTTTTGACTTAATTTTGTTATATTAAAAGTTATCTACGACTTTTAAAAATTAATGAACCTAAGTACTTTAAATTATAAAACAATACCTTAAAATGGTAACACAGTATAAATAAAAATAACAATTAAAAAATAATATAAATATGCTAGACTTCATTAATTAAACGGACGATAAGAAAATTTTGTAATTTAATAAACCTTCGATTTTTTGATAACTTCATTAATTGAATTGACGTTAAAAAAACTTTCCTCAATCACTCACATGTTTGAAATTAAAATTAATGGAAATAAAAATGGAATTTTAATCACGCACACATTTGGAATTAAAATGAATGGATATAATAATGAAACTAAAATTGTGCACACATTTGAAAGCAGAAATTTCAAAATTAAATTAAAATATACCTTCTATTAAAAACTCTTGTTTTTTCCATTAGCAAGCTCTTGAATTTTAATTGTTTTTGTAATATACTAGTTTTAACATTATAACATTAGTATCATATAAAATTGTATTATATTTTATATGTTTGATTGTACATATTTTGCAAGCCAAAAGGTTTTGAGTTTTTATTTTTAATAAAATAGAGAGAGAGTTTTAAAAGGAAAGCATTGCAAATAGAAGTAAATAGTTACACAACCAAACAGCTACTATACCAAAGACAATGTACAAATTACTTAATTGCAATTATAAGCTTAAACTTTATTAAGTTTTACTTTTTTTGACGATCCCGAAAAATTTTGGAGACTATTCCCAGGATTTCATGATGAGCAATTTGTACAAAATCCCGGGATTGCCATCCCTAATCAAAATGCAATTTTTAAAAAGAAACTTGCTTTTAAACACCATTACGAAAAGTGGGGTTAAACTTTTTTAATATCCATATTTTTAAACTAAATTGAAAATTCAAAAAATAACTAAAAACGCTTAGAAAGGAGCAGTTATATTTAACATACTACTTATAGATACCTATTTAATTTTAAGTAAAGACAGTGTTAGCAATGTGTAAAGTTTTTAGTTATAGGCATTCAAAACTTGTATCACAAAAGGAACAATAGGTTCTTTCAGTGACGCTAGTTACAGTGGTTAGAACTAAATATTCAATATTCCACACAAAATATCTTTACCTGAAACTAAATAGATATTTATAGGTAGCATGTAATGTTTTATGGGCCCCATCTTAACGTTTTTAGTTTTACTTGAATTTTAAATTTAGTTTACAAAGGTTGAAAAAACAGACTTTTCAACCCTGCCCAATGGGTAAACTTGTCTTTATAAGTTATAATACTAGAACTGAGTTTCTGCCGTCGATAGAGCGAACTTAACGTAGTGTGTTATATTGACACGTTGGCTGGAAATAAACAAAAAATAAATTAAATTTAGAAAATTCATGTATGATAGGAGGGGTCATACTTTAAAAATTACATAGCATATGTTTTTATATATTTTCGTGACGATTTATATAAAATTATAAATCGACACGAAAATTATAGCATTTATGTGAAAATTTCAAGTTAACCTCTCGTCAATAGGCCACCAAGAAATTTAAATAATTGAGTTCTTTCATTTCTTCTGTTGTCTATGCTAAGAATCAGTAAAGATGTTGTAACTAGTAAGTGTAGTGAAATAAAATGTACTTAGTTTTGTTTGAGTTTACTCACAACTTCTTAGCTTGGAAACATATATTGAGTTTTTAAAATTCCAAAGTTACGCTTATAAAGATCGAAGAAGGTCGATGATAGAACTGGAAGAATAAAACAGATTAGTGTCATCTGTAAAAATTATGCAATCTAATTTAGATAAGACTTTAGGAACACTGTTGGTTTAAGTTAAAAACAGAAGAGGAGCTAGAATAAATCCTTGAAAAGCACCACATTTCATTTGTAATTGTTTTGAATCGTTATTGTGATCTAAACCAATAGATTACTGTCTATTATATAGATTGTTTGAAGCAGACCATACCATTATAGTTTGATTTTTGATCCCAAATTTTTTTTCCAAGTTTTTCCTTCTTTCAGAAGTATAGTCTGGCCTACTGTGTCGAACAGCAAAACAATAAAGACTCCAGATACAAACTTTTCACTATCGAAAGTTGTACTAATTTTATAAAAAAGGTTTTACTATGTACACGTAAGGTATTTATGCATCAAACCAACGGTTTTGTCAGAAGCAGGTATTAAATGTGTTATATAAATTTTAAATTATCATGGCTACACCTACCAAAACCTTTAGTCGTTATACTTACCAAGAGTACTAGTATGAAGTGAACGCTAAGATACAAATGTGTCGATAGGGAGCATTTGTTGTGTCTTTAGAGCAGTGCCCACTATGGTATTTGAAGAAAAAAAAAAAGCAAAATTACGACGATGTGATAATGTTTGAAGGTTGGCTGCAAGAGCAGGTCCAACTATGTTTACAATGCGTTTTTGCTCTTTGTCTAAAAGAAAAAGGGCATCATTAGAAGATCCGCCCCAGATATGACAACAGTATTCCATACAAGGCCGGATTTGAGATTTATAAAGATAGAGAATAAAATCCAGAGTAAGAAAGTGTCGATCTCGATAAAGAGATGCAACTTTAGCAGATGCTAATTTTGCAACGGATTTGATATATGGTTTCCAAGAAAGATCAGAAGTAAGAGTTAACTATAGAAGATGAAGGGTAGATGACTCATCAAGTTCATTACCGTTCATAAATATAGGAAGGTCTAAATTATTGTGAAAACAATTGGCTAAAAAAAATTGAGTTTTATTTGAATTAAAGTTCCCCAGCCACTGTGAGCCCCATGCTGTAGAAGAAGTGAGATCCGTTTCAAGCTCAAATCACCCCTCCAAGCAATCAGAGAAAGTTGGCTTCTTATCATGACAAGAATAAATGGTAGTATCATCAGCGAACAATGCCACCTTAGATGTGAGAATATCTGGAAGATCGTTAATGTAAATTGAAAAGAGTATAGCGTCAAGGATTGAACCTTCAGGAACCCCTGAGGTTACTGAATAAGAAGAAAAGTGCTGTCCATCAAAGACAACTTTTATACTACAATTGGAAAGAAAGGACTTAATAATCTTAAAGATGTTACGGGATACACCGTAAGAAGAAAGCTTATGGAGAAGACAAGCATGTCAAACATTATCAAACGCTTTAGAAATGTCAAGAGCGATAGCCTTAACCTCTCCACCTTTATCTAATGCACGATAAAACTATCGGCTATTACTGTTAGCAAATCAGCCGTAGAACAAAATTATGGAAATCCATATTGATGATCAGAAAGTAAGTTATTAGATTCAAGATGAGAGATTGAGTACTTGTTAATTAAAGATTCAAAAATCTTGCTTTCGATAGGAAGATGACTAATGAGATGGTAATTAGACAAATCAGATCGCTCTCCAGAATTTTCAAAAATAGGGATAACAGATGCTGCTTTCCAGCATCTGTTATCCCTGTTTTTGCTTGCTGGAAAACAAGCTTCTGATAAGCACTTGTTGAATAGTTTTGAAAGGATAGACACTTCTGCAAGACTATAACAGGTATGTTGTCCGGGCCACAAGCTGTAGAAGAGTCTAAGCAGGAAATCACTTTAGATACAAAAGCTGGAGTGATACAAATATCAAGCAATGGATCAACCTGTTTGACTGCTATAGAACGCAACTAGTGAAGTCAAGAGATGATATTGATGAAAATTTCTCAGCAAATAATTCAGCTTTGTCTTTAGATGAGGTGACAAAGTATAAATCATACAAAAGAGGAGGAATTCTCCAGAATTCACGAGAGCCTAATTTTTTTGATAAAATACAAGATTTCATATCCTGAGAATAGCGGGCTTTGGCGTTAGACAAAACCTTTTTACAATGTAATAAACAAAGTCTGTTTACTGGAGAATTGTTTTGCTGATAGATATGGAAGTAATGGTTTCGATTGGTAATTGCAGCAGCACAATGTCAGGAAAACCATGGAGAAGAGGCTTGATCTGGAGAGGGAATAAAGGATTCCATG